AAAGAGCACAATGATGGTGCCAACTTGGGCCAGTGAAGCAACGTCCTCCACAACTAGACTGAAGAACAAAAGGACAGCAACTTATCTGTTCCCCTTCCCCCAATTCCCCAGCACTGTTCCCATCACCCCAATTCCCCAATAAAAACTAAAAAAAAAGAAATGGGAAGGGAAGAGCATGTATGTCAGACTGTCCAATTTTTTACCCGAATACCTTTGAAAGTACTTTATAAAATATGAGGAAAACTCTATTTTCTTCCTTCCATACAAATGATGTCTGTGGTTTAGGTGTAACTATATAGTTAACTATATAACTATATAGTTAGGTGTAACTATAATTTCACTGTCACTAATATTAGTAGAGGAAATGACAGCTGAGTCACTTGGTAAAGGAAATACAGGCAGGACAAGGAGATGAAATGAGCGCTTCAGAATGAGACAGGCCTGGGATCAAATCTCAGCTCTGCCTCCCGCTGCTCTTAGAGTCTAGAGAAAGGGCCCCCAAGCATCATTCGCAGGGCATGCTGGGAAGATTACAGGAGATAAGCTAGGACACTCTCTCAGCACACCGCCAGTTCTTCCCCCTACCATCCTCCACACACAAGGCTTGAGGTATTCATCATCACAAGACACATATCTCCTTCTTTTCATGTTCACATTCACCTTGACATTCTGTGGAGCTTCTATAAGCACCAACCATGGCTCCTGGTGGTTTATTCAGGGCAGCTCTGAGTGATTCAGAGAGGTATGAAAAACAGGCCTTCAGCTTTTGCCTTAAAGTATCTGACGACTTTCTTCCAGGCATTTCTTCGAATCAGAACTACTTCATTTCTTTGCTTTTGTTGAAAGAAAGGGAAGAACACTGTCCCTGGCATTAAAGGGACATGGTATTGTCGTCTACTTTATGGTCACAGCTGTATGACATGAGGCCCAAGAAAGTAAGATAATTTGTCTACCATTTTTGCTGTAAAATTTAAACAAAACGACTTATATGGACCGTTTTAGACTTTGAAATTCTCTGATTCTAAGATGTGGTGGTTGGAACTGAAACCAGGTCTTATTTCATCCAGAGCAGGAAGCAAGTGACCAAAGTCTAAATTACTTACCTGAAAGGTGACAAGCAATAGTTCAAATTATTTTAGGTACAGAAAACAGAATTATCTTAAAATATATATATATATATATATATATATATATATATATATATATATATATATATATATATAATCTCCATGTATTGCGGTTGAATTGTGCCACCACCATCCCCCCCAAAGATATGTTCAATTCCTAACTCCTGGTACCTGTGAATATAACCTTGTTTGGAAACAGGGCCTTTGCAGATGTAATAAAGTTCAGATGAGGTCATACTAGATTAGGATCAGCCCTAATGCAATGACTGGCGTCCTCATAAGAAAAAACGGGACAAAGACATGAGGGAAGATGGCTATGTGATGACAGAGATTGGAGTTATGCATCTACAAGCCAAGGAAAACCAAAGAATGCTGGAACTCGGGGATACAAAGAATAAGAAATAGCTAAGTCCCTTTTCTCAAGGAATTTAAAATCTAGAAGAGACAATCATGTAGGTAACTACATGAAAACAAGAGGGCAAGAAAGGAAACAGGAAAAGTTCCTGAAGAAGCAATATCTGAATGAATGAGGTGATCAAGGAGTGCAAGGATGAGACGTGATGATGAACAGGGTAGAGGGTTACTGCAGACCAGGGCATGGCACAGACACAAGGAGTGAAATGACACAAGGTCAAAGACTCTCATAGCTGGAACATGTCCACTGCAGGAGAATTATGTAGAAAATAAGGCTGGAAAGAGTCTGTAGGGCTACTGGTGGAGGATCTTGACTGCTATGCCAAGGAATATGTCTGTCCTACAAGCACTGGTATGTCATTCCAACTTTCTGAGAAAGGGCATGACATGATCTGACCTGCGTTTTAGGAGGGAACTAAAACTGTTTGAGAAAACCATTTTCAGGACACGTGGAAATGGGGTCCTGACTCGCAT